AGAAAGAGACGGAGAGAGAGAGAAGAGGGGAGGAGTTGATCTTGCGAGAACTTCCGGGCGGGTGAGAATAGCCACTTTCAAAGAAAAATCTGCTCCTTTCCGAGGGTTTTACCTGTGTAAGACGGAGAATGCGCTGCCTGCTCTGCCCAGATTTTAACAAAGCTTGCAAGTTTGGTTCCGCCGGCTCTAAACTTAACATCATGCCGCAAGGCGAGGAAAGCGATGCAGATGGTCAGGGTGATGTGGGTATGAAATTTCACAAGTGCCAGTGAAAGTACTCGAGTGGCGCACCAGCACGGAAACTTTCATTGGTAGCCAGGGGTCAGAGGTGCGAAATTAGTTTGACCAATGCCTGCCGCCCTGATCGTAGGTCAGCCGAGAAAAGAGTTCCTCGAATCGTTGTTACATGGCAGTGAGGAGTGGCATTGGTTGACTGTACTTATTACACCGATGGGTGGGGCTAAGGGTGGAAGCAAGGGAGATATTTCAAATGTTTCTATTTTTAATAGGTCAAACAGTGGTCCAATGAAATGCAAGCACTGATGGCAATGAATAAGCAGGACTGACGCATATATGCCATTATCAGAGAGGATAGGACTTGAGGGGTGTGAAGTTTTGACCACTGCTTGCCGACCGGACAAGCGACCCTTGATTTTGATCCCACCGGCTGGGCTTTTGAAACCCTCCTCCACCTCTCTCTAAATTTCCCTGTCTAAGACGGAAAATGTTTAAGACGCATTTTATTTTCTGGCTCACTTGCGATTCCGTCTTACGTAGGTTCAGACTGTTGTGTTTCTTCCTTATCTCTGTCCTTGGGTGGTTGGTTCATTGATCGAGCATCCGTTCTTAAGCGCACACCAGTGTTGCTCACCGTAAACGTTTCGCTACTTTAGTTAGTATTACAAAGTAGTTCTATCTGACATGTTGGCCGTTTTGAGTTACTACATTGACCATGAGGTCAGAAACCAAATGTTTTATCTGCTCTATCAAAACCGTAAGATTATTCGGAGTCGTTATCAAGACACTAGCTTGGTACCCCGTTCGATGAACGGACTCAAAAGAATCGATCGTCAAGTCATTGTAGAGTTAAAGTGCGCACTGCATGTGAGCGGAAGTCTCACTTGTTTACAATGGCGTCATAGAAGACGGACTTTCCCAAGATTATATCTAAATGAAACTAATGAAAAACTGAAAATTAAACTGCACTGACTTTGACTCCTTAATATGACTGTGCACCCTTTAAATGATTCTGAACCACCGTTAATTTGTTCAAATTCGAAAGTTAAGTGGTTCGGAAGTTTTAGGCAACCAAAGTGACCGACTTTCGCAAATATAATATAGATTTGTTTATTTCCGACGGAAGAGCAATTTTTATATCGTGGAAAACGAAATATGTCTTGAACATTTCATTGAAATGACGAACGGGAAAATCTTAAACGGCCGATAAGGTTTTCTATTACTCTTTTTTTAGGGG